CCCGGGAGGCACAGGCAGTCAAAGCCAAAATCAACTATTGGGATTGCATCAAATTGAGAAGTTTCTGTACTGCAAAAGAAACAGTCAGGAGAGTGAAGAGACAACTGACAGAATGGGAAAAAATATTTGCAAACTATGCAACAGATAAAGGGTTAATAACCAGAATCTACAAAGAGAGCAAGAAACTCCACAAAAACAAAACCAACAACCCACTTAAGAGATGGGCCAAGGACCTCAATAGACATTTTTCAAAAGAGGAAATCCAAATGGCCAACAGGCACATGAAAAAATGTTCAAGGTCATTAGCAATCAGGGAAATGCAAATCAAAAGCACAATGAGGTTTCACCTCACCCCGGTTAGAATGGCTCACATACAGAAATCTACCAACAACAGATGCTGGCGAGGATGTGGGGAAAAAGGGACACTAACCCACTGTTGGTGGGAATGCAATCTGGTCAAGCCACTATGGAAGTCAGTCTGGAGATTCCTCAGAAACCTGAAGATAACCCTACCATTCGACCCAGCCATCCCACTCCTTGGAATTTACCCAAAGGAATTTAAATTGGCAAACAAATAGTGGTCTGCAGCCTAATGTTTATTGCAGCTCAATTCACAATAGCCAAGACCTGGAACCAACCTAAATGCCCATCAACGGTAGACTGGATAAAGAAATTATGGGATATGTACTCTTTAGAATACTATACCGCAGTAAGAAACAACGAAATCCAGTCATTTGCAACAAAATGGAGGAATCTGGAACACATCATGCTGAGTAAAATAAGCCAATCCCAAAGGGACAAATACCATATGTTCTCCCTGATCGGTGACAACTGACTGAACACCAAAAAGGAAACCTCCTGAAGTGAAATGGACACTATGGGAAATGGTGACTTGATCAGCATAGCCCTGACTGCTAATGGACAACTTAATACATTATCCCTCTTAGTAGTTTTTTTGTCTGTTCTACTTAATATGACTGGTTTAATTCTGTAATTAATACACAGTTATTCTTAAGTGTTGAAAATTAACTGAAATGTGATCCCTGTTAAACATAAGAGTGGGAATAAGAGAGGGAAGAGATGTATAATTTGGGACATGCTCAAGCTGACTTGCCCCAAATGGTAGAGTTAGAAACATACCAGGGGATTCCAATTCAATCCCATCAAGGTGGCATGTACCAATGCCATCTCACTAGTCCAAGTGATCAATTTCAGTTCACAATTGATCAGAATGAAAGGACTAAGAGTCAAAGGGAGCACATAAACAAGTCTAGTACCTGCTAACACTAACCAATAGAATAAATAAGGGGGAGAGTGATCCAACATGGGAAGTGAGATACTCAGCAGACTCATAGAATGGCAGATGTCCTAAATAGAACTCTGGCCTCAGAATCAGCCCTAAAGGCATTCGGATCTGGCTGAAAAGCCCATGAGAGTATTTCAGGCATGGAAAGCCAAGACACTCTGGCAAAAGATCTCTGTGAGTGAGATCCAAGTGGAAAGAACATGTCTTCAAAGAAGGAGGTACCTTTCTCTGAAGGGAGGAGAGAACCTCCACTTTGACTATGACCTTGTCTAAACAAGATAAGAATCGGAGAACTCAGAGGGCTTCCATAGCCTTGGAAACTCATGACTGGAGCATAGGGAGATTACTGATGCCATAGACAGGAGTGTCAATTGGTAAAGTCAACAACAGGAGTCACTGTGCACTTACTCCTCATGTAGGATCTCTGTCCTTAATGTGCTGTGCATTGAGATTTAATGTTATAACGAGTACTCAAACAATATATTTCACTTTGTGTTTCTATGGGGGTGCAAACTGTTGAAATCTTTACTTAATGCATACTAAACTGATCCTCTGTAAAAAAAAAAAAAAAAAAAGAAAGAAATTATCAACTCCCAACTTGACTCTCACTGGGATTAAACATGACAATAGGTCTGATCTGATTTCATCATCATTTAAAAAAAATCATCTATTATTTTTCACTTTATGTTTCTGTGTGGGAGCAAACTGCTGAAATCCTTACTTAATGTATACTAAGCTGATCTTCTGTATATTAAGATAATTGAAAATGAATCTTGATGTGAATGGAAGGGGAGAGGGAGTGGGAAAGTGGAGGGTTGTGGGTGGGAGGGACGGTATGGGGGGGAAGCCATTGTAATCCATAAATCGTACTTTGGAAATTTATATTCATTAAATAAAAGTTAAAAAAAATACTATATTCAGACATTTCAAGAAAGAGAAAAAGTTGTTCATTCATTATTTAGGAATGAGACTTAGTGCACTGATAATTTTAAAAACCAAGCATAGGTTCTTTTTTATTTTTTATTTTTAAGATTTATTTCTTTTTTTGAAAGGCAGAGTTACAGAAAGGCAGAGGCAGCGAGAGAGAAGTCTTCCATCCGCTGGTTCATTCCTCAAATGGTCGCAACAGCCAGAGCTCCGAAGCCAGGAACCAGGAACTTCCTCCAGGTCTCCTATGCAGGTGCAGGGGCCTAAGGACTTGGGCCATATTCCACTGCTTTCTGAGGCTACAGCAGAAAACTGGATCAGAAGTGGAACAGCCAGGACTTGAACCGGCACTCATATGGGATGCCAGCACTGCAGGCAGCGGCTTTACCCTCTATGCCACAGCACCAGCCCCAGGTATAGGTTCTTAATCCAAGAATTTAATTGGATCCATTTTGAAACCATTTGCATTTTAAGCAGTATAACCTAAGAAAGCAGACTTTCCATGACTTTCAGCCAGGAGCAGATTAGCTTCCTGAGAAATCATGGCTACAGCCCCAAGCATCCCTAACTGGGCAGCAGGTCACCCAAAACTGCATCTGAGGGTGACTCTTTGGTTGGACAGTGGTCACTGCTTTCACCAAACAGCTGTGATGAATGTGCATGGTGTAAGAATGATTTGCTGGCCCTGCTTCTAGGTAGGGTGGGGCTGGCATTCTTAAGCTAGGGATGGAGAAAGCAAGTAGAGAACGAAGTTCCCATTCTCCTGCCTCCAGGTCGGCTTCTCTCTGGGACGAAAGGAAAGATTATGCATGGAGAATGCAATGCAGACACTCTGATGAAGCCACTTCTTCTGCTGTGCATCTTCACTTTTCTGACTCTAGCAGTTTCTCCCAAAGGACCCTAGAGGTTCTCTGAGTAGACTGCCACTTACCCTGGACACGTTCCTTCTCTCTCTTTTCAAATCTATTGAGTGGTGTCCACAGCACACCCAATATGGTGGACACTGACTGCTCAACTCTCCAGCACAAATGGGCACCTCTGCTCCCCCGAGTTGTGGTATACCTCATATACCTTCCCAAGTCAGCTGCATTTTTTTCCCAAGCCTGTTTACACTGCTTACATAAACATAATTTAATGTTTAGTGAACTCAAAAATATGATGGTTAAAAAAAAGAGTTGCTGATTCTATGAAAACAAAATGGGATGATTTAAAAGATTCAACAAAGCTGAATTTTTAAACACACCAAAAATGTCTGTCAAATTAGGTGTGTGTGAAATAAATGTCAAAGACTTGATGGGGAGAAGGTCATTAAAAGAGTGAGGTCTGCACAGAGGCTGCTTTCCAAGCTCTTTATGTCCTCAGTTGGTTTACAGAGACTCACATCAGGTGCAATTTGGATGTGGTTAATGCAGGAAAAACAATGTGACATTACAAATCAGGTGATCCACACATAAAAAAATTTCCTCTGTCATGATTTCTTGATCTTTGAATTAAGTATCTAACTCTGGTGTCAAGTGTACTGGAAAAGACACCTTCTGTTAAGCCTTTCATTGTTTATGTCTGCTTAGTATTTTTCTTTTGATTGTTAGTTCTAGCCCATCTCCCTACGTCTGGGAACATATAGATTGTTGAGTGGGTATAACAGAAAATCACTAGACCAGAAGTCAGAAAACAGAGCCTAGTCATCAGCTGAACTATAGTCTTGGAGGTGTAATCGCATCTCTTTGAGCCTCAGTTTCCTCATCCACAATGCATGCGTTGGGGATGGGGATGGAGGATGAGAGTGCATGACAAAAGAAGTAGGACCAGATAACATCTCTGGTCTCAAGAGTCTACAAAATGCCACCCTAGGCTATTTGGCTCAAAGCACAAATAGCCTTCCCTAAAACATTTTATTGGTCTTTAGGAACACACTAGATAGAAAATGTTTGAAAAAAAATTCATCTATTAATGTTGAAAATAAGTAACTCTCCTAGAGAAAAGTAAAATTTTTAGAAATTTTAATTAGAAAGGAAAATAGGAAGTTACTTGTCATGTAAATAATACAATAAGATTGAAGCTATCAACATAAAATTGATAGTTGATATCTTTATAATTTGAACATTGAGAAAAGATCTATGTTACATTTTGGAGTGGGCATTTGGCGTAGCTATTAAGATGCCGATTGGGGTTCCTGCAACCCACATCAAAGTACTGTGGTTTAATCCCTGACTTCAGCTCCTGATTCCAGCTTCCTGCTAATATTGATTTCCCGAAGTAGTGGTGATGGCTCAAGTTATTGGGTTTCTGCCATCTAGGTTGGAGACCTGGATTGAGTTCCCAGCTCTCAGCTCTGGCCCCCAAGCAATTGCAGGAATTTGGCAAGAGAACCAGCGGATGGGGGCTCTCTGTCTCGCTGCTTCTCAGAAATAAATAAATAAGTAAATAAATAAATAAAGTTTAAAGAATGATGTTACATCTTAAATGGCAGTGCACTCTATTGAAAACAAAAAGCTTTTGGAACAAACTTTTTACTTTATAGTTGCAAAGTGAATTACAAAGTTATGGTTTTGACAATAGCATGCCATATAAAATTGTTTAAATAATTTCCAACATTAATTCTAATTTGACAGATATAAAATTAAAACAACTACAGGTTGGAGAAAATAAATTGTCTCATGAAATGAGTGCCGCCTTTTTTAAGATCTTTAATTCTATACAGAACTAAAATAAAGTTAACCTCAAGAGTCAAAAAAAAATGTCATTGTGCATGTAAAAAAAGATGTACCCACTGTGCAGCCTTGCCTCCTGCACCATGGCCTCTGGGATTTCTGCCACCCTCAGATCACTATACGTGAACCAGGCCTGCTTCTGAAAGTCATACACGTCGCTGATGTAATGGCCTGCACACGGGGAGTTCCCTATGTGGCTGATGACGCTGATCAGTCGGTAAGAATGAAGAGCATCTCCCATTTGCATGCTTCCTTTTGGTTCCTTGACTTTAGCTATGGTTTTCTCCATGCCCACGATGTCTTTGGTAACAGATTCGTGCAGCTGCTCAACCACGCCTCTCAATCCTTCTGAAATCTTGTGTTTTTCGTAGTCACAAAGATCTTTTGAAGACTCACTAACATGATCAAAATCTAACTCTACCAATGTACTGGTTTTCTCATCGTCCTTGGGTTCTGGATTTTCAGGCTCCTCTTGACAACAAACTTCTTCAAGTCCTCTGTCTGGGTTGTTTATAGGATTACTTTCATCTTCACAGTTCATAAGAAGAGAGATGTCTCCCTGATCCATCACTGAGGCAGCTGCCAGCATCTCCATTTCTCTGACTTCCCTATCTCTTGCGTTGCCCAGTTTGGACTCCAGATTTGAGCCACTTGCTAGGTCACTCTGCTGCTGCTCCTTTGGCCTGGCTTCCCAAATTCTCTGAGGTGTGTTTTGTTCAGCATCTTCGTCTGGTGCCACATGCAGAACTGAAGAGTCACTGGATTGCCAGGTCAGCTTCACAGATGATGTGCATGGGCTGACTCTCTCAGAAATAACCTCTTGGGTGAGGTTCAGTACTTCGGGGTCCAACACAGGTGCATTACTATCCAAGGGAAGTGGTGGTCTGGTGTCTTCATTGCAATTAGAGGATAAACTCAAATATTTGGGAATAAAACTTGTTGGTCATCCTTCATTAGCGCGTAAGTGTCACTCAAACTGTAGCATTTCAGATGAACAATGAAGACTCTGGGTAGCCTGCCAAATTTCTGCATCACCACAGCCTTCTTGTGGTTACACATTTCACAGAGGCGCTCACATTCTTCTGTTGTAAAGAAAAGATCAAAACAATTTTGAAGGGACAAAGGAGATGCTTTTGGTTTTGGGTGTAGGTTGACAGAGAAACAATTACCAGGCTCTATCATGACAGGAACTTGACCACAGGCTTTGCAAATCACGTAGTCCTGCAATTCAAATTCAAAATTGGAAGCAACTGGACAAACAAACACTTTGGTGGCAGCATCACCAGCAAGCAACTCTGGAGGTGAATTTTCATCTCCAGCCTCCCTCCTCGTTTTCCAAATGGTGTTTACTTTTTCAAAATCACTTTTCAGCTGGTCTAAACACTGACATAAGAATTCATGAGCATCGTTCTGCATGTTGCCCGAGAATATTTCTGCAACAGCTGAGATAGCATTTTTAATATCTCTGAGTAGGTCTTGGCTAGTCTCTAGATTACAAATATCTTTCAAAGCAAGCAACATACTTAAAGGCATGATAAGCACGTCAGAAGGAATGTTCTCCCATGGAATACCTTGTCCTAGTAAGCCATCAGCAAATGATGGAATTGCATAGAGTGACTGTAAAATTGAGTTCATGTAACAGGTGTTTCCCAAATTGGGGAAGCCCTGCTGCAGTTGCTCTGGGTGAGAGTCAAGGCACAATTGGTCTTGATCGTGTTGTGGGTCGTCCTGGGCTCGTTCTGGTACCGATGGCAATAGCAGACTTTTGTCAGACACACTCTGAGGAGAAAGAACAGTCTCATCCAGGGGAGAATTTCCAGGAGAGGCGGTCCTGAGGGAAGGTCCATGTTTTGAACTTCCATCCTTTTCTAGATCTTTCAAGGAATCTTTCTTGAATTTCTTGCTTGGCACACTCTCATTTTCTTCCAGGAAGCCTTCATCCGTATCTAGACTGGACGACAGTGTTGTTTTTCTCTTCCTATCTTTCTTTTCTGGTAACCCTTGTTTGGCAAGTATTGGCGATTTGCCCAGCAACTGCTGGGGGAACGTTTTTCCACTTCCTTCTTCTGTAGTGAAGGTCTCAGCACTTGGTTCACGACATACATTGGAAGATGGAGTTTGGTCAGGCTCTGTGTACCCATTCATGCTCTCCATGACACTCCAATAACTTTCCGATTTAATGGGCCACTGATGTTTGTTCTGACGAATGATGTCCAGCAAGATCTGCAACCGTTCAGTATGTGTGCAAGATAGTTTGCCAAGACACAAGGTTTTTTCCGAGAAAGTCAGATACAGGCCATTTTGTCTTTCTCCATAATGACTAAAACATTCTAGAATATTAATGTCTAGGGAAAAACCTCTTATATGTAGGTTTTCCACCTTCAAACATGAAAATCAGTTGAATATCCTTTTCCCTTTCCACTGTTTCTGTGATGGGTTCTTTCAACTTACTAGGTCCAGTCCTCTTCTTCGACGTCTGCACAAAACCATGCACTTTGTGAGGGGATGTTCTTTGTTTACAAATACAACACATGTACCCTAAAGAAAAAGACACACGGACATTTTAATAGAAATGTAGCTACAGTGGGGACTTGAGTAAATGCTGAGCATGCAAGCAGCCATTTCATGCAAGGAGTATGAAAACAGAATTAAGATGGTGAGCTTTTCAGGAAAATTGAGGAGGGTAGGCGAAGAGAAACATGAAGAGAGAGACACAGCATAATGCAGACCCTCCGAGGCAGCATGTGAGGTTCAATTATTTGGGACTCTACCACCTGTGTGGAAACTTGCACTAGTTCTGGGCTCCTGGCTTTAGCCTGGCCCAGCCCTGATGGTTGCAGGCATTTGAGGACTGAACCAGTAGATGGAAGATCTCTCTCTCTGCCTTTCAAATGCAATGAAAATTTAAAATGACTTTCTTAATTCTTCTCCCTCCCCTCACCCATTTGCCTATGTCTTTCTAAGCAGCCTAGAATGTCTGTGTCTTTCCAACATTCTGATGTCAGAAAAAGCAAATGAAAAAAATTCAAATGAAACTACAGAAAAAAAGATATTACCTGTTGTCCATTCTCAGTTCCGGCCAAAGACACTTGAGTCAGAATTCAAGGGAATTGACTCTTTGGAGAGTTGTCTGTGGCCACACTGCAAGTAGAATCCTGAGTGCCAAGGCTGCTGAAAGAAAAATAGGAAATCTCAAAAAGTGAGTTTTATGTCATCACCGGTGGATTCCCAACCACATCTTCTGTTGTTTGATTTCACTATCTGGTAGAAAGCAAATGCAGAGGCTAGTGTTTTGGCATAGTGGGTTAAACCACCACATGCAACACCAGCATCCTCTACGGGTGCCACTTTGAGACCCAGCTGCTCCACTTCCAATCTAGCTCCCTGCTGGTGGGCCTGAGAAGGGAGAAAAAGATGGCCCAAGTGTTTGGGCTCCTGTACCCACGCCACGTGTGGGATCTGGAAGAGGCTCTGGGCTCCTGGCTTCAGCCTGCCCCAGCCCTGGCCCCCATGGCCCTCTGGGAAGAGAACCAGTGGATGGAGGAGCTCTGTTTCTCCCTCTCTCTGTAACTGCGCCTGTCAAATAAATAAAAGTTTGTAAAGACAAGAAAGCAAATGGCAATCCAACACCCTCCAATGACTTTTTTTTTATACATTTTTTTTCAGATACACCTGATGAATTTTCACAACTTCCTTTTTTTCTTAATTTTTCTTCATTTTTTATTTTTCACATGCTGAGTTAGACAGCGAGAGAGAGAGAGAGAGAGAGAGAGAGAGAGAGAGAGAAAGGTCTTCCTTTTCCATTGGTTCAGCCCCCAAATTGCCGCTACAGCCAGCACGCTGAACCGATCCGAAGCCAGCAGCCAGGTGCTTCCTCCTGGTCTCCCATGCAGGTGTAGGGCCCAAGCTCTTGTGCCATCCTCCACGGCCTTCCCAGGCCACAGCAGAGAGCTGGACTGGAAGAGGAGCAACCAGCAGAGAATCCGGAGCTCCAACCGGAACTAGAACTCAGGGTGCTGGCGCTGCAGGCGGAGCATTAGCCTAGAGAGCTGTGGCACTGACCCCTCCAATGTCTTAAAAGTTGATTAAACCAAGGAGGAAATCCAGTGTGATAATGAGATTACCTCCAAATACCTTTCTAAATCCAGCCCTTCCCAATCACATAGATTGGATTAATACAGCCACAGTCTTGGTGGTGAGGAGATTTTTGGAGCTCTGCCACAATTAGAATTTTAAAATTCATTTATTTATTTGAAAGACCTAGAACGTTAAGCATGTTTGCTTGTTGTTTTTTTTTTTTCTGTTGACAAACAGGCAACAAGGAGGATACACTATGATCACACAATATACATTCCAGCTGCTAGAAGTCAGAGACTGGTTTCTTATTTACTGCTCTTGGAACATGAAGCTTGAAACTCAAGCTTCCTGGGTCTTAGTGTCACATAAGTGAAACGGGATTGCAACAACAGCACTGTTGTGATCATAAAACTGCACCACAACAAAACACACAGCCCAGTTAAGAGATGGGCCACGGGCTTAAACTGACATTTTCAAAAGAGGATATCCAAATGGCCAACAGACACATGAAGAAATGTTCAGGATCACTAGCCATCAGGGAAATGCAAATCAAACCACAATGAGGAGACATCTCTCCCTCCCCTGGTAAGAATGGCTCTCACACAGCCCTACAGCTCAGCTCCGGCTGTCACAGCCATTTGGGCAGTGAACCAGCTGATGGAAGACCTCTCTCTCTCTGTGTAACTCTTTCAAAATAAATAAAAAACAAGTAAGTCTTTAACAAATAGTTAATGCATCTTCAATTTTCTGAGAGATACTAACACCTGCATTGTGTACCCATAGTGACCACAGTATGAACCCAGAGGCCCTGTATTTCATCCTCCTATCACTGTGTTTGTGAGAAATGACTTTGTTTTTTCATAGGGGATATTTCTTCTCACTGAATCTTAAATTTAAGGAAAGGGGGAGTCATAAGGAGTAGAGATCTCCAGTTGCATCCCGAAATGATACCAAAAGATGAGTAGCCTTCATCATGTGTTGTTTACAGCTTGCTTGTTGGATTGGCATTAAGAATGGCCAGGACTTGAACCAGCACCCATATGGGATGCCAGTGTTACAGGAAGAGGTTTATTGCCCTGCACTACAAGGCTGGCCCGTCATCATTTGCATTTTAATGCATGTTCCCTTCTGGAGATGCCAGAATCCAAGGTCACAGAAAATTAAAAACCAGGGCTCCGCTGGGCTGAGGCAGGTCCACACCGGGCCTCAGCCAGGGCCACACCGGGGCCTCACCCAGGTCCCTGGGGCTCCATCGGGGTTCTCACGGGAGGCCGGACCAGGCACTGAGCTCAACAGGTAGACGGATGCGCAGCGGGGCGGCCGGGCCCAGAACCGGCACCCATGTGGGATGGCCGGGCCACCCCTACGCCCACTTGCGCCTTTCTCACGCTTGTAGTACATGGGAACAGCTGACTACAGCCCTCGTGGTCACCCCGCTTGAGTCTGGTGTGGTCATTTTATCTTTTCCTTGCAGCATGCTTTCCATTCTCGGTCTTTACAACTATATAAAACTTTTCCTCACTCAGCGAGGAAGGGAACAGAAATCCCCAGAGCACAAGCGGACCTCCGCTTCCCAGCCTTCTAGAGCCCAGACCCCGCGCCTGCCGGGGCTGCCAGCCCGAGCCTCCTCCGGACATGGCTGCTGTGTGGTGCTGGCCCCGCGGGCGCTGGCTGGGGCGGCAGAGAGGCGCGCGGGGGTGGCTGCCCGCGCTGGGGAAGGTGCACAGGGGGCTGGCTCAGACACTGACGAAGGAGGGGCCCACTGAAGAGCGAGAAAGAGAAATTAAAAGGGGTCGGGACTTCCACTCTCAGGCTTCGAGCATCTTCATTTCCACCCCCCTGCCCCCTACAGGAAAATGGAATCCCCGGCAAAGGCCACCACAAGTCTTCTGCAAGCAGCGGCTTTCCCAGCAGGTCTTGCGGGAGGACGCACCATGGGACCTTAAGGGAAATGTAGTCTGCGATGGTAGTGTCACCGGAGGGTCGCTCTGCGCAGGCATAGCACCAATTCCTGGAGTTGATGTGGCCTGAAGGTTGGCATGGCAATCTCAACACACGGTTCTGCCTGTTTGCTACTGCTGAACTCGTGGAATTCACTCGATTACTATGGACAGGTCGACCCCAGCTCCTCATGATCACCCACCCTTTCTGAACTCGGGTGTGGGCCCATGTCAGCTAAATGCTTGGACTCGGGGTGTGGATTATTGTAGAGGGCACAGAGCAGATCTGGATTCTCCTATTCCTTTGTGTTTCTCCTTGTGTACTTCTCAGCTACCTCAATTTGTTTTAAGATTTATTGTATTGATTTGAAAGAGCTATAGAGAGGTAGAGACAGAGAGAGGTCTTCCATCCGCTGGTTCACTCGCCAGAGGGCTGCAATGGCTGGAGCTGAGCCGATCTGAAGCCAGGAGCCTGGAGCTTCCTCCAGGTCTCCCACGTGGGTGCAGGGGCCCAAGGACTTGGGCCATCTTCTACTGCTCTCTCTCCAAGGCCACAGCAGAGAGCTGGATCAGAAGATGAGCAGCCAGGACTAGAACCAGCGTCCATATGGGATGTCAATGCCTCAGGCCAGGGCTTTAACCTGCTGTGTTTTAAGCACCGGCCACCACCCCTTTTTGTTAAGATTTATATTTTATTTGAAAGGCAGAGTTACAGAGAGGCAGAAGAAGAGGGGGAGGGGAGGAGAGGAGAGAGCTCGGTCTTCCATCTGCTGGTTCAATCCCCAGATGACCACATCAGCTCAATTGAGCTTGTCTAAAGCCAGGAGCAACTTCTGGGTCTCCACATGGGTGCAG